TTGTCCGAAGATATAATTACAACCTTGTAGTTTCCGTGAAACCTACTAGCACGAACGTTTAAAGATATCATATATATTTAATATAAAGTTTATTAGTCACCCGGCCAGTAGGTACTCTCTTATCACAACTAACCAGTTCTTCGTTCCGTTTTGAGCTACCTTTCAAAATCGCTCAAGAGGGAATAGGGATGGGTGGGTTTGTAATTATATCTTCGGACAAGCTCGGAAAATTAGGATCAATTTTTCTTACAGGTAAGTCAATGAATCCTTAAATTTTCCTTCGCTTGTCCTTGATATAATTACAACCTTGTAGATGTTTAGAGTAAAATGCGATTTTGAAACAAATCAATTTAATCAGACCTAGTATTAAACTAATATATGGATATAAATTTAAATAGTAAACAATTAGATGTACAACTAATTTGTAAAATGCCAAACATCAGTTTTAATATAACAAACAAAAAGAATATAAAGATAACAACAATAATTTACGAAATATCGTTCATATGTAATATTGTTTTTGCAAAAGCATCGTTTGGCTCTGCAAGTGGTCTATTATAAAAAGTAAAAAATATATTTGAAGAAGCTGACCAACCGGCTGTGTTTTTTATTTGATTTACATTTAGACCTGCTCTAAATACTGCGGAAGTTGAGGCATGGCGTACGCTATGGCTAGAAAAAAGGGATGTATCTACTCCACCTAGAGCAAGTGTTTTCTTTATCCAACGGCTTATAGTTTGGGTTGAAGGTGTATGAAAAGGTTTCTTATGTGTAATAATTAGCCTATGTTGGGGATTTCGGAAACTGAGGGTTTTTTCTAAATAAAATTCCAAAGTGGACGCCACACACACAACTCTGGTCTAGCTCTAAAGAAAGGTAAAACTAGAATTGGTTGTGGTTTATTAGGTTGAGATGTTTTAATTCTTTCTGACACTTGTTCAAAACTTGGAAACCATTTTGAAAGAAATTCTAATAAGGGATCTGGGTTCCACGTAACAGAATATCTTGGTTTTGGCGGTCGTATAATGGAAATGCCTTCAAAAACCTAGGGGTTATTGGCTTATCATCTTTAGATATTAGACTAAATATTAAGTTGAGACCTGTACGAATTAATTACCGAATATGAATGGCCCTCTTGCAACATTTTGTTTAAAAATTCTAAATGTGTTCAAACTGTATTCGTTCTTTTCGATTACAAAAAGTCCAATATTTTTTGTAACAAGTAAAATATTGTTTTTGTGTACCCTCTGCAAGGGAAGCGATAATGGTAGGTATAGCTGCCGGTAATATTCCTTTGTTTAATAAAGCTGTCCAGATAATTTTCCTGCCATTGGGGAAATCTTCTTGTGAAGTGGATGGGTTTCCCTGAAAGGAGAAATAAGCAGGTATTTTTCAGAGCTGAAAATCATTGGTTTTTCAACTAATAATTTTTAAACATAGGATACCACGGTTGAGATGGCCAATAAGGTACAACTATTCCTACAGCTTTTTCTTGTATAATTTTTTTCAACACTTTTGTTATAATAGCAAAGGGAAGAAATGCATAAAAATAATATTGATTTCATTCCATTGTAAATGCATTTACCCAAAAGCATTCCGGGTCAGGAAACCATGAAATATACTTATCACATTTTTTATTAATGCGAGTGACGAACAAATCTATTTCTGGCTTGCTAAATTTGCGAACAATTAAATCAAAGGCTTTATAATTAAATTAATAATTAAATAGATACTGACTATTGATAAAATTCTAGACTCACTGTCTGCCTCTTTATTATCTCTAGAAGGGATATAGGTGGCAAAAACTAATATATTATTGAGTTCACACCATCGCCATAATTCTCTTGCAACTTTATTTAAATAATCAAATTTAACACTTCCCTATACAAGAAATAGCCGGTTTGTTATCAATTCTCAAAAGAATTCGAATGTTGTTTTCACTTTGACTTCAGTGCATAGAATGCAGCTTTTATTTCTAAAAAAATAATGTGCATTGACTTTTCTTGGTTATCCCAAAACCCGTGACATTTTTGGCCCCTGCAAAAAGCACCCCAAGCAGTTGGGGTCGCATCTGAAAAAAATTCCAAACTAAAATGTTTAGGCTTTATATGTTTTCCATTTCCAATATTATGTTTCCACCATGTGAGTTCCTCCTTTAATGAGTTAGGAATAACCATTTTAGAATTGTAATTTCTATAATTTTCTTTTAAACAATTATGCTTTACCCTTTCTAAAGTTTTAATATGTATGAAACCAAATTTTGTAGCTGGACAAGAGGCCACTAATTTACCAGTTAATTTTGCAAAATCGCGTATAGTGCATGTAGATTTTGAAATGAATTGGTTTAATTGTTTTTTAATGTTAACAACTTTATCATTAGGTAAGGCTATTGTCATATCTGTCGTATTATATGAAAACCCTAAAAATCTAATAGACTGTTGTGGTTCTAAACTACTTTTTCTAAAATTTATTAAGAAACCTAGCCTTGAGAATAAATCTAATGCAATATTTGTATCCAATTAACATTTCTGTTTAGTAGGAGCTATTATCAAAATGTCGTCTAAATAAAAACACAAGTAATTCCTCTTATTCTAAGATTTTTTGCAATTGGTACAAGTAATTTTGTAAATACAAAAGGTGCAATGTTTAAACCAAATGGTAAACAATTGAACTCATATAACGTGTTTTTGTATTTAAAACTACAATATTTTTTTTAAATAGGAACAAGAAAATAAGCGTCTTTAAGATCAATGTTTGTTAGGTAATAATTTTGGTTTATTAGCTTTAATACCGTCCTGTAATCTTCCATTTTAAAGTGCGATAATTGTATGAAAGAATTAAGATTTTTTAAATTAAGGATAAAACGATTTTTTCCGTTAGGTTTTTTAACTAAAAAATAAGACGACAAAAATTGATTTTGGGTAGGACGGCATTTCCTAATAGCGCCTATTTCCAAGAGCTCCTGGATGGCAGTCTCATACATTTTAAATTGACTAGGAGGTATGCTAACTCTAGGTTACTTTGACAGAAAAGGTTTTCTTTTAAATGGAATTTGTATTCCTTTAACCCAGCCAAGAACGACCTGGTTCCGTGTAATGGTTTTCCAAGTCTGAATAAATATAGTTAGATAACCAGCATATGACTTTACCTGTGACGTTGAAACTTTTATTTGCGCCCGTATTGAGTATATTCCTGTCTCGGTTTTCTGTACTGATTCCTGAAGTTGTCAGACTCTCTCTTCCTTTTTGAATTTTGTCTTGTATTGGGATCGCTTGTAGTTTAAAGACTTCTGAGTACCTGATGGCCCGGCTTCTGATATTCTTGCAGGTTTAAATGTTTTATTCTTTAAATCAAAACTTGCTTTCCTAAGTGCCTGGTCGTTTTTAAATACTTCTGAAAAGTTATTGCTGAATAGGAACTCATCCAGCTTCAATGAGTCTGCGACTTTCTTGCAATCTGGATTTACATAAGAACCAATTTTAAATTTTCTGTGTACCGATAGTGCATTGTGCGTATTGGTAAAAAGTTGGCAGGCTTCTGCTAGAGTTTTTGCATTTTCTGAATGGTCTTCCTTTTGCAACATATTATATAACACCACAGCTACAGCGGTCAACCCGTGTCCTAATTGCTGCTGAAGAGCCATCACAAATTTATCATGCTTCAGTGCAGCTTCGGGCAAACACGGTAAAACTTCGTTATTAATCTGAGGCGGTAACAAGAATTTGCAGTTTATTGGAATTTTATGTTTTGTCATAATTTCGTTTCGTTCCGACAAGCTAAGTCCCTTGCGTAAATATTTTTCCCATCGGACTACAAGTTCTTCGTTAAGAGGCTCACCTTCTTCTGAGCTTTTATCAGGTCTAGCACCTAATGTGACTTCAAAATTTGTTTCACCCTCTGTTGCAAGTGGCTGCTCGACTTCAGCTTCTTGAACTGAGGAATCGCTCTTGCTTTCTCGCATAGAATCTGCAAGTTATAATCTGCATTAGTCTAGGAGCAACTATACGTGGGGGCAACGCTTGTTGTCCCAACTACCCTAAATTTTTTAACGCATGTTACATAGCTCAATTATTTATTTTTAGTGAAGAAAACAAAAATGTTTTTAAATATATAAGACAACGCGTGTTGTCATGAGCTATTTATATTGTAAATATAACACAATTAATTCTATCACAAAAAAATATAAAACACTATGACCGTGTATAAGCAAAATTCTAAATACCTGAATAATTAGAATCGGATGATTCTGAATCACTTTCATTCATCCGCCGAAAATCCTGGTAGATTTTTCCATTTACTTCTTCATCTTTTTAAATTTACGCATCTTTCCTAGATCGGGAGATGCACATCTTTTTGTTTTTGGCATAATTAACACAATTATTTTAAAACACTTCGATTTTTATTTAATTTAAAACACGTTCACTCAATGAGCACGAAAAACGGAATGAAGAACTGGTTAGTTGTGATAAGAGAGTACTGACCGGGTGACTAATAAACTTTTTATTAAATATATATGATATCTTTAAACGTTCGGGCTAATGAGTAGGTTTCACGGAAACTAGTTGTAATTATATCAAGGACAAGCGAAGGAAAATTAAAAATATAACATTGAATGGGCCAAATGATATGATTCTGGGCTCGTAAGGGTAGCATAGATTAAAATTTACTGATATTTTTATTCGCCTTCTGATAAAATATTTGGCAACGTTCTAATTATTCTATTGACTCATCAGCGCGAATAATAATAGTCTTTTAGCTTTTAATAGCAATAGCAAATAGTACCTTTTTTTGAGTGAATGGATGGCATCAGACAATATTTTTTTCTGGCTTAATGTGTGTTGTGTATGTAGGCTTTGTTACTGTTTCACATCGCCACTTTAGGAACAGCACTGTTAATTAGAACCCAACAGTGAATGGTCGAGCTAAAGGCCTGTTTTTATGTAAATAGGAATTATTCTTATTTTTTTACTATAATAAACAAATGAAATAAGACACATTTGAACCGATAAAAGATTTTTATTCAATAGGCTTGCTAATAATCGCCTAACTTATAACAATTTAACAAAATAAATATCTAGGCTTCACTATCAACTAAATTGTAACAAACATGATGTGTATAATGATATGGATTCCTTGCATTACAATTACATAACACACAAGCATTTTAATATCGAATCAACAGTCTACCTAATATACAATTATTGGTTACACTTTGCATTTATACCTCAATTCTGTCATGGGTTCTAATCAGTTTTTGGGAAAATTTGTTTTTGAATGCTATGTTAATAAATTGTATAAAGACAAAGCTACAAAACAACAATTTAATATTAAACCCTTCATAGAAACAATCGAGGTTAAGTATCCAAATTTGTATTTATAAAAATTATACAAAAACAAATTTCCTTTTATCGAGCATTACAATAATTATCACTTGCAATTTTTTTATTTTTTGTACATAAATTTTAATAAATTAGCATTCAAGTCTTTTTGATACAAAAAATCAATAAAAAATACTTTGGGTCATCAGCCTTGTAATTTTGTAAAATTAAAGAGTATTATTTGTGCAAAATTATAAATTTGGCGAGATACTATAATTAAAGAGCGCCATTTGCAATACGTTATATTAAAATATGCTAACGAAGAATATGAAAACGTTTTGATCTTACTAAACAAATTAAGAGATGTCTTAAAATGTATACAATTATTTACGCGTCTCAACTGACACAATTTTCACCAGTTCAGTAGTCAATTTGGAATGTTGGTGCATAAAATGGCAGGCTATCTGTTAATCAAACGTATTGCAAATGGTATCAAATAGCTAACCTAATATGTACTTGAAAATGTTTCTTATTTTATATATAAGCGGTTTGTTTGTCATTTGGAAGGATTAAGAAGCACATTTCTTAGGGTGATTGTCATAATGGTTTGAAGTCCCGTTTTGAAATATGGTCAGTATTTCTTAAAATTAGCGCTTAATTAGCGTCTCAACTTCATGCAAGACGAATTTACTGTTCGCGCGGTGCATAGTTCTGATTCCGAGTTTTAATCTTTTGTCATTGTAAGATTAAGACGACATCCATTATAACGCAATATTAATAAAGGCCCTATTAGACGGAAATCACACCAAAAAAGGACCAACAGAAGACCTAATTTATATGTTTGGTTATGAACTGCTAAAAGATTTCGTCAACATAGGGCGATGTTCTGCAGCTGTCGCTGCATTCTGCATCCTAATCAAAATTATATAAAAGATCTCTTGCAAAAAACGTATTTGCCTCTATTACATCTTGCCACTATAAAGACAAATAATCCGTTATTTGACACTCGTTTTGGTTAATTCAAACTCCCATACAAACTTACTTCTTACTATTCATCTGGAAACTAATTTACATGCATTGTACATTTCGAATTAAACCAGAACACCCTTAATTAACAACTCGTGTCGAAAAATCAGTCAAAAATCTCATTAAATCCTAAAATTTCATTGACATTAACGGTGATCAGCTGGTGGTGGGGGTTGACTAATTCTACCGGGCGTATCTTGATTCAGTTGCGACGCCGTAACGCTTCGAGTTTGCAACGTCGCCGTCGGAGGTTCGTCCAATAGTTGCCTTAAGCGTTGCAATTGTGCCTCAAGTTGTCTGTTGTGGTCTTCGAGGATTTGCATTCGGGCTTCCAGCCGGCCTTTGTGTTGTCTAAAACAAAAAGAAAATGTTTATCCGTGACAAGGCAATAGTTTTACTTTTCATTACCGTAATAATCTGGCTTCCGCCAGGACGTCATGTTGAGGTTGTGGTTGGGGTATAGGATTGTTTCCTCTTTGAAGCTGATCATACTCTTGGAGAAGAGCCTGGTTCTCAACTTCCAGCTCCCTGATCATGTCCTGCAATTCGGCTCGTTGTTCTTCGTCGATAACGAGCATAAGTTGGCCGGGACTAGCAGGAGCACCTTCCAGAGAGTGACAGTAGTCAGCTATCAAACGATGCTCGTCTTCAGGTGATGCGGCTCGTAGTTCCACTTCGGCTAGACGACTAGCATATATTTCCAACCTACAATATTTTTATTTTCCTATAAACCCACCACTCTGTAAAAAAATTAAAAATTTACCTGGAATGCATATCGTTATGCTGCGGCGAAGCCACAGGACTCTCGAGCTCATCTCCCTCCAAGACGGATCTAACAGGCAAATAACCCATTCTCGGGTGCTTGTTGAAGTACCTCTTGCTCTTAAATTTGTTCCTTAACGCTTTCGTGAAGTCCCTGACGTCTTCTACGGACGTCGTGGCGGCGCAATATTCGTGCATCGGGTGGTTTAATTTGTGACCTTTCGTGAGACGACCGGAGAAAAAGCAACTTTGACACATGTCGAAATTGAAGCATTTGAGACAGCGGTACCGGAGGCCGCTGATCGGGTACTGCTTGCAGGAGTTACATTTGGCTTGGTGTTTGGCATTTTCGGCGGCGGCTAGACGGTGAAGAACCGGTAACCACACTAGAGACTAGAAGAAAAAAAATTGAGACCAGATGCTCCAGACGAGGGGTTGAATATTCCTTAAAAAAGGTGTAAAAATGTGTAAAAGTATTTATTTAAATAACTTTAAATACAAAATTTCATACAGAAATATCTTTAAATAAACTTCAGTAGGTGTACATATATTTAAATGTCTTAAATAAATTTAAAAACTTTAAAATACTTTTAAATAGATTTTAGGCTTCATGTCTATAATTATATTTGCGTAATTTGAGCGAGTCTATCTGCCATTCATTTTGTTTGTGCGTGAATTGCGTGATTTACTAAAGTCTACTGAGTCTACTGTAGTGATTTCACAATGGCGATGAGAAGGCGTTTGTTTATTCATGGTGTTCATGTACAGTTTTTTCCGAGTAGAATGTACTGAACATTTATTTCTAAGATAAGAAAATGCAACAAATTATAATAATATTTATGTGGAAATGTAAAAATTGTAAACATTGCTAATGAATATTTTGAGTTACAAAGACCTACTTATTTATTGAAAGAAATGTGATTTTTGTTTGTTTCAATTAGACGTTTTAGAGAAACTACACATTTGATATTTCAAGTCTGAAAAATGGGGTATGGGGTTTTAGGACATGCCCCGCTTGATCTAAAATATTTAAACTATCCAACCACTTACGGTTGTAACGGAAGTCGAGTCGAAAGTTTTTTTACACTCTTATTTTAAATGGAACGCCCTACATATTATTACGGATTTGAATACAGCTGTTTATGAATAGTCTCCTAATTTAGGGATCCGTTACATTATACTGATCTCGAGATAAAGCCATTTTCTTTATAAAATCCAGATTAATATGGAGACAACATTGTGGAAAAGAGAATCAGCCGATTGCAAGAACGCTCATTTAATTTTATAAACCTGATAAACTATGACAAATGTTTAGACTGAGCAATTTGAAGTTCATACCATTCTGAAAATACAATCTCAAGGTCTACCGAAGTTTATCATACCCATACATTTTAATGAACGTTCTTGCAAACAGTTGAGTATACAATACGTTAAGGTGATTACAGCCCCCTTAAAATTTTCGAACAAGCATATCTCAGAAAGTAATTTTTTTAAATAATAAAAATTTTGGCAAAATCAATGAGGCAATAATATGTAAAATATGCATATATTTTAAAGTTTTAGTTCATTCCAGTTTCCAAGAAAAAAAATCAAAGGGATTTAAATTTTGAAATATCATAATGAAAATAAATGCATTCCTCAACAGCACTATTCTTAATATAATCCCCAAATTTAAGCACTTAATCTCTTGTTAATGATTTTTTAAAATTCGCCGAAAATAGTGGCTAAAACGCCTCGTTAAGTGCTATTTTCTGGTTTAAACTGGTGTAAATCATTACAAGAAACGAATGATGACTCAGAGTGTACGATACGATAGTTACAGTCGCGTTACACCAGAAAGCAGCACTTAACGAGGCGTTTTAGCCACTAATTTCGGCGAATTTTAAAAAATCATTAACAAGAGATTAAGAGCTTAAATTTGGGGATTAAATTAAGAATACTGCTGTTGAAGAACGCGTTTATTTTCATTATGATATTTCAAAATTTAAAGCCCTTTGACTTTTTTTCTTGGAAACTGAAAATAATTAAAACTTTAAAATATAAGCATATTCTAGATATTATTGCCTAATTTGTTTTGCCAAAATTTTAACTTAAAAAAAAATTACTTTTTGAGATATGCTTGTCCGAAAATTATAAGGGGGTGCTGTACTCACCTTAACTTTCACATTCTGACTACAGAAGAATGGAATAGAAACACAATGCTATTGAATAGACAGAAATAGAATAATAACTCAATATTCCATGCTTGTTATCGAAAGAGTATGTTTAAGCCAATAACTCTTTACCACACTCACGTCCAAATAATTAAGCGTCTCATATTTACTTTGCTTGATGCGCCGGTTAACTCACTGTATACAAAAATTACAAAAACCTCATAGTCTACATAAAAACACACTAAACAGAAAAATATCCGTTTTACCTGAAGAAAAATAAAAATATCAAAGGAAGCAATGAAGAAGAAGTCAAAACTTGTAAGCAATTCCAGGTACTAACTAGTTTCAGATACAGAATGAAAGGCGGTACCTACTTCTAAAGCCGAACCTACTACTACCAGAATTGAAAAGAGTTTGTCACAGGTCGACGTTGTTTTTTTCTTAAATTATCGCAGCTTGTGGAAGGGTGTCTTCTATTTTATCGGGTAGAGTTGTATACATATAAATCATGAATCGTGTAGAACATTTGGCTGCTAGGTTGAGAGGTGTTGTTGAATGGAAAAATTAAAGTACTTTTTCTGATAACTGGTTTTATTTTATCTTCCTAAACTTTGAATTCAATAACAAACAGTTAATTGATGAAAATAATTTTACATAAAAAACTGAACACAAAACATGACGGTTTAAAAAATCTTTTATGAATATATTATTTGTTTTAATGTAAAAGTTGCGATTGTTTGGCGTGGATGTTGAAATGTCTCTCAACTTCGAAAATACCTTGTCGTGTCTGTCTTGTGATTGGTTTAAAGAAATGGCGTTTGTTCAAGTTCGCCGTGGAGAGATATTTACATAGTTACAAATTGTTGAGCGAGCTCTCTTGCATTTATTTTAAACGGGCCTTAATACATTTAAATACATTTAAATACATTTAAATACATTTAAATACATTTAAATACATTTAAATACATTTAAATACATTTAAATACATTTAAATACATTTAAATACATTTAAATACATTTAAATACATTTAAATACATTTAAATACATTTAAATACATCTAAATATATTTAAATACAATTATTTCTATAAATTTGTCTTAAATACTTTTAAATACACAATTTTTTTAAGAATGTCCAATCCCTCGGATCCAGATTAAACTAATAAGGACATTCGTTGATGAGTGGCCTCTTTTTTTACAGTACTACCATTGTACTATGTTCACTCACCTGCGGTTCCTGTTTCAACCAAGCCAAAAAGTGGGCAGCTTCGAGATCTTCGCGTTCTCCCAAACAACTTCTGACGCTGGGTTCGATGTTGGAGCCACCGAACGCAGCCACTTCGCCCAGTTGTCTTGGGATCTGCAAAATGTCGTGCAACAGCAGACCCAACTTTCGTTGATCTGCCTTTTGTTGTGGATCAGCTATCAGTCGAAACAGATATCTGTATTTATCTTCTAGGTGTCCTTTGGACAAAAGCGTTAATCCTACCTATTGAAAGAAACATGATAGTTACTTAGACGTCCGAGGTTTTTGGTATATGGTGCCGGTAACTAGTTGATTTTTTTTTAATTTCTAAGGCGATAAAAACCTGTAGTGCTTACCTTAAAACTAAGCACTCTAATTTGTCCAGTACGCTGGCTATCAAACACATTTAACAACCAATTCAAAGCTAAATCAACGCACAACGGCACATCAATCGGAGTATTCTCCGAGTTGGCAATATTCCCGAAAATTGCCCTCAACACCAACACCATATCGGCCACGTCCAAAATCTTATCGTTCTGGGCCCTCAATCCGTGCAAGTCGAATGCCTCAGAAGCTCCGCTGATCGACACCATGTCCAGACACATTTTCTTCTGGATGGCGCGCAACTTCAAGGCAGTACGGTACGCCGAGAAACGCACTTCGTTGAGTTGGAGAAGACAAACGGCTAATTCCAGCATTTGGGGGTGGTCCCAATGGGTGGTTTCAGTACTGTGATTAATGTAGTACGGTACTTTGTTGGGTGTTATGGCACGCTCCCATGGCGGTTGGACGCTCGGGGGTCCAGGGGATATTTCGCCTGGAATTAAAAGTAATGGTTCGAGTTACTTAATATGTCCTTATGTATTAACCTGTTACTAATTTGGCTTGTATAATTGAATTATGTTGTACTTAATGCTGTTTACATACAACCACCCGTTCGTATTTAAAGACAATGTATATAACAAAAGTCCGCTCTGTTAAGTAAATAGTTGATAAAACAATTAACCAGTAGAGGCTGAATTTTAAAATTCTGAGAATGTTAGAAGTAGACATAGAGTACAAACTAAAAACATTCAATCATACGGTTAAACGCAACATGACTTAACACAGACAAGAAAAAATAGTAAATAATCTTTTATCTCCCACTTGTCATAATGTTTTTCACTGGCACCAATTGTACGCGAAATAATTTTAAACGATTTATTTTAAAAAGTCAGTAACACCAAAGCAAGAAGTCTTACCAATAGAATACAAAATTCGAGTACTACTCCAACAACCGGCAACCGAGATTATAAATAGAAGCGAAACCATAGCCATTCATACATTACTTGTCTTACATCACTAATAAATGGATCAAACACCCATCGTAGTACGTTAAAAGTTGGCCATTTTATATATTCTAAATTCTAACTACTCACACAAAACAAATCTCACGTTAAACAAAAAAATAAAGCTGTAAATTTAAATAATACTTTAAATTGAGTATATACAGGGTGTTTCAAAAAGTTATGTCATAAATTCATCCTCGGATAGATTACCAAAAATAAGTTGATTTTACTATATTTACCTATATCAAAAACTGACTCCCAACAAAGTTACAGGGTGTTAAACTAACATTCAGAAAAACGTTTTTTTTTTCGTGAAAAGTTTGCTGTTGCGATTTTTTCTTCGAAATTTTTGCCAGTGCTGTAGATTTGAAAGCCCATTATTCTAAGGAGAAAAAAATACGTGTGGCACTCGGGGACTGCCGCGGTAAAGCTATTACATAGCATTTTTTATCAACTTATGCAATTATAATTATTTATTTTATTTATGCAGTATTTTTTTTTCTTTGATATTAATTCAAGTTACACTTTTTGAGCGTGGTGACCGATAAGAAAACAAATTTTTTTCTTTTATTGAATAAATGAGAAGTTAATATTGTTTAAAATATTTTTATTATCTTAGAATACATGTAGGTTATTCAGGAATTTTTATCATTGAAACTATAGGTTTATGGTAACTGAAATAAGAAACATAAGTTTGAAACTTGATATACTCTAAATATCTGGAAAATACCTCGTCAATGGTGGTCCATATTTTGATGTGGATTCTTGTGGATCATTATTCATTTTCAAATTCAATTTTTCCGGAATTGTGTCTAAACGAGATAGAATCAGTTATGAGCAGTTAGCAGCTAGTCTACACGCATACGTCTAGTCGCACGCACACAAACACCGTGCCGAATTCTGCCGAACTGAAACGACGTTAGACGATGCACGGCTTTCAACGCCACACCGCTGTGCCGGTCGGAGTGGGAGGTGTTAGGTTTATTTTCGTTACGGAATTTATTTTTCGAATTTTCGATTTTTTGATTTTTCGATTTTTCGAGGGTTATTTTCGTTACGGAATTTCTTGATTCGGTCGCTGCGCTCAAAGCCCGCGATAAAATCTATGCAATAGCTTAAAAATTTAAAGCGACCCCTTTAAAAAAAGTTGGGGGGTTGGGTACCTTTTAACCCCCCCTCCTTATTTTTTTTTTTGAGATAAAGAAACTTTCTTTATCGATCTTAAAATCAAATAGAATTTCAAGTTTTTTTTTATAGCGAAATGTACTTTGTATCTTTCTTATTTAACGAGCTATTTACAATTTTTTAACTGAATTTCTAGAGCAATTCGTCCATCCTTGACTATCAAAATATCAACAAAACTAAGAGTAGGTCAGGAGTTATTGTAGAAAAAACGCAAATAAAAATCAGTGGAGTGCTTAGGGCCGTGCTTGAGCCGCCCCTGCAAAAATTACCTCTTTTATTTATATTTTTGTATTCAAGAATGTTGAATATTTTCTAAATTAAATAGTTTGTAAAATATGTATAATAATTATTACCAAATGTTTAGTTTTAATTGTTAATTTTTTGTCAATTGTTTAATTAAAAACATATTTTTTTTATTTACTATTAAATTTAATAAATACTGTAATGTGAGCCATTTCATTATTGTCATGCTCTAATACTCCAAGTCCCTCTCTGTATTATTTGGCCTTTGATACTCAACTTGTTCGATTATTATACATAATTAAACCCCTTAAGACCAAACCTATGTGACGACTATGGTGGAGACACTTTCGCGAACATTCCAGAGTCAACGAGATACTATTTCTAGACTAGATATAACGTGATAACGTTTCTGGTAAATTCTGGTAATTTTGGTGGAGGAACAATCTAGACCACCAATTTGTATATAAATATTGGTGGATGAGCCATCAGAGTAGGTTAGTATATGGACAGTGAAGATAAATAGTAATTAGTAGATAGACAGTGGTGAATATAAATAGTGATCAGTTTAAAGACATTCGAAGTATATATAAATTAGAATAGTTGTGTTATAAAATAAATAAGTGTTTAAATAAATTATTAATAAATAAACTGTTGTTTTAAAATAAACAAACATAACAATACATTTCCCAACTAACGTGTATTTTTATCAGTGGCATGGTGACGGGTGACAAAGCACGGGTGACAAAGCACATAGAGGTTCCACGTGAATGACCAAGGTCAAAACCGACAACTGACATTTTTTATGCTATTTGCGCCAAACTCTAGATGGGGCTACTGGTGAAATTATTATTTCTTATTGCATTTTTACATTTGTCCTCGGTTAAAAAGACATTTATAAAATATATTACTTTAGGGTTAATAAAATGTAATATCCTAGTCTCTACTTCACATTTAAATTATTGATATTTTAAAGATTTGAGATTGTATACCTATTTGCCCCAAGTAAGTATTCGTTAAATATGTATTATTATTTTTATTTATTTTTATCTAATAATATTTATTTAAGTTATTAATATTTTAAGAATGTTCTATTTTATTAATTATTGATATATCTTATATTTATTTAATAATAATATGCAGAACCAACTCTCCACATCACACCCCTCATAACAAATTAATTCCTCAAATTTTTTATAATCGACCTAAATTATTTTGTAAAATAAAAGTTTCGAACTTACTAGTTCCATACTTTATTTTATAAAATAATTTATGTGGAAATCATTTAAAATTTAATTTAAAACTACTACCTACTACTAAAAATTACAATTTGAATTTGCCGCCATCTGTCATTTGTCATTTTAGTTCCTGCTCCAAACACAAGGTGGCGCTAATTTGGTTTAACAGTTTAACATTGGCGTGGGGTCTCTAGAAGATACGTGCTTTGTAGGTGGCACACCATTTTTATGGCGCCAATTCAATATTATAAATACCTTTTTTACAAAAATATAAATAAAAGAGGTAGTTTTTGCAGGGACGGCTCAAGCACAGCCCTAGACATACCACTGATTTTTATATGCGTTTTTTGTACAATAACTCCTGACCTACTCTTAGTTTTGTTGATATGTTAAGTCCAGGACGGACGAATTGCTCTAGAAATTCAGTTAAAAAATTGTAAATAGCTCGTTAAGGACCGATTCCACCGTTGTGTTAAACGAAGTTTAAAATGACATTTTTACATTAACAATTTAATTTTAATCTCCGTTTAACACAACGGTGGAATCGGCCCTAAGAGCAATCCAGTCCCTTCTGACGTCACACCGCACGGATCTCACGACCTCACCTTAAAGTATTTGGAACCTTGTTCGCTACATAAATTTGGCAATGTTGTGTGTCGTGCGCTGAAGAATAATCATATTGGGTAGGGTCCGATTACAATTCAGGTATAATTCGTTGGCTATCGCCGCCTACTGGGGGTTAGTGGCTTGTTATAATATTATAGGAATGTAGGAATACTATTTTTAAACCAACTCAAACATTTTTTATTTATTGATAGTTATAGAGGATATACAGGGTGTTTCCAAAATTAGACGGTCATATTTTAACAGCGTAATCTACATCCTAAAATAGTAGTAAAAGTTCATATAAATATAGGTCCGAAAACTTTTCTTTTCCGAGATACAGGGTGTTAAAGGTGAAGTCCTGATACCACACTTTTGTAAATATTTTCTAAACGTTTAAAGATAATTAGGTAAAATTTGTTACAAATACTTACCTTTTTACGCTTCATTTATTGGACTAAACCCCAGTTATTGATCATCTTCTTAGGTGGGTAAATTAGGGGGAGCTTAGGGTAAAATTGCCGTGTGTGTCTGTGTGTCTATATCCACCATAACTCATGAACCGATACACAGAAAAACACTAAATTTTAAACTTAAGCTTTATTTCAGCGTTCAATAAAATGAATAGATTTTGAGCAGAGTCGGAACATCTGGGGGGTACTTTTATATTTTATGGAATATATCTGTTATTTACGTCTGGGGAAGAAAATTCTTTAAATAAAAGTTACTTCTTATATTATTATCTATAATTTTTGTTATATACAAAATTTTCCTAAAATGGTCCGTATTCGAGAAATTTGACAAAATGTAAAAAAACATTTTTTTATAAAAATTGTTTAAATAAAAGTTGTTTGTAATATAATTCTCTATAATTTTTATCCTATACATAATTTCTCTAAAATGGACCGTATTCGAGATATTTGAGAAAATGTGTAAATTTCGTGAAGAAAACTCAAAAACGGATAAAGAAAAAAACATTAAATTTTAAACTTAAGCTTTATTTCGGCCTGACGTGAAATGATTAGATTTTGGATAAAGTCGGAACATTTGGGGGGTACTTTATGGGAGGCCGTTTTTATATTTTATGGAATATATCTGTTATTTATGTTAGGAGAAAAAAATTGTTCAAATAAAAGTTACTTCTAATATTATTATCTATAATTTTTGCTTTATGTCAAAATTTCCTGAAATGGCCCTATTCGAGAAATTTGACAAAATGTACA